ACGGTCTTAATAAATTTCAGGTAAACAAAGCATGATAGTGCCATCTAGCGTTCCTCAGCCAAAACACTGCTTGTCATTTCTTGATAACATCTTGCCTGGTACTCAATCTACCAATGATGGTCCAACTTAATGTTAACATAAACTGGTACAAAAATAATTCACGCTTTCAATTTTTTCGTGATTTTAATGAAAAGTATGTTCGCAGTCAATGTATCGTTAAATTTTATATTTGTTGTTTAATTTTATCATGTTTTTCGCATATTTTCAACAACTATATCCAACCTTAATTATAGTATTATTTCTGAAATCTGAGTCCAATATGTGTGTTATATTTATTAAAAATTCGAGATATACTTGTAAATATTCGAATACTTTTGTGAACGACTGTAGCTGTAACGTGTAAGAGACGAGCGGGAATGGTAAAATCGGAATTGACAATGCGTCGCTAAGATACATCGAGCTCCGCAGGCACAGCGACGTCGCTGTAACTTTTCTATGTTACCTTGTATATAATATTAAACGTTGTACGATATTAATACCGACAGTTAACGTTTAATGTTAGTGAAATATCGTTAAGACGTTAGGCCTGAATCTCTATTTTCACTCTCGATCGACTTTGTCCAAGCAAGAGTTCCACGTCGATAAAAGTGAATTTGAAAGAGGTTAGAAACGAGAAGAATTGAAGACAAGTGAATACGTTAGAATACGTGATAAAGATTTTTCGTACGAAATAATCGTGGTCTCTTAATGCTCTGGAAAATGATAGTCACGTGCACTTTGTAGCAGTTTTGTATTATCTGTTCCACGGAATGTAAATCTTTGTACAGAAAAACTTATGTCCTACATTACGAGACGTTCTCACGAACTTCAACGTTTCATTATCGTTTTTATCGAGAATGATTAAATCGGATATTTTTTCTTCCTTTTCTGCCTTGCCGTATTTGTCTAAAAGTGATGGGTGTAAATGTGGCATGCGTGTGTATGTAATATAATGGTTCATTTATTTGACAAATAAGTTCACTGCATTTGTCAAAGTATTTATAATTTATATAAAACTGAGAGAATTTTATCAAGTTTTGTAAAAAGATGGTAAGATTAACAAAGTAGTTAAGTCATTAAAATTAAACATATTATTTGGTAATTTATAATATTTTATCTATTGTTATTTATTTTATTATGTATTTATATTACATGTTATATAATATATTTAATGTATAATCTATTTTTTACACTCAAAGAGTTATAAATAATTATAGCTCTATGCTTAAACATGTTTTAGAAAGACTAATCCAAATTTAATTATACATCTTTTATTTTACTTTTTTTTAGCTACATAATAAGATATACTTTTTCCAAACAAACAATTTTTCTATTTTTGTAAATCTGTTCTAAACACCACAATACAATTTTATTTGCATTTTATTATTTTATATTCACAAGAAATGATTAAAAGAAAAAACGATACACAAAAGATGACTGTTTCCAAATTCTTCAAATCCTGATATACATATTGTTTTGAATACATACAAAAATTCAATGAACATAAATAAATTATAATAACAATTGCCACGTTTAATTTACATTGTTTTTCAGAACAAAATTTTGTATACATCCATAATAATATTTTTTAATAAACAAAAATCCTATTTATTGTTTTATACTTTAGATTCCCTTATTTGTAACAATATTCGATTTCTGAAAAAGTATACGTGTAAAAAGATGTGAAAGGAGAGAGTGTATGTGAAAAAAACAGATGAAAAGGAAAGACGAAAGGAGAATTAAAAAATACCATGAACCTATCGTTTGAATTGGTGTCATGTAACAAATATAAAAATGAATTAATACTTTGTAAATAGTTAAGAAATTGAACACTGTGGAAGTGCATTCGACGTCACTGTAAAATACATGGAAAAACGAATTGCTGGATATTGTACGTCTGTATAATCGTTTGTCGGACAATGTATCTTATATTACAGAATAATAAAACAAAAAAAGACTTATCAAAACCTTAAAATTTCTCTCTTGCATTAATTATTTTTTCCTTTATAAAAGTATGATTTTCATTCATTTAGTATACAGGATATAACAAGATTAAGTTTCTAAATACGAAAACTTTCAATTGCAATAACTTTTAAATTAAGTTTAGCATATAAATATCATAAATCTTTTTGGTGGAAATAAAAAAGCTGTTCTACAAAAATATTAAATTTTTAATATATACAATCTTTTATTGTTTATAAATTGTTTTAAACAATGTTTTTCTACAAATTAGTTTAAGGGATACTCTAAATATCTAAATATTTGTATTAACTCTATAATTAATTTTTAATATACAATTTGTATTATATAGAAATCATTTATTTTCACATAAACTGCATAACATTTTCAAATATGTAAAATTTGAAAAATAGCTTCTTAAACAATGACCAGAAAATTATAATATACTCATTAAAAATCAAATAGTTCAAGCTAACAAGAAATATTATCACAGTAAACAAGAGAACATATAATAGGGTTTAAAAAACAATTCATTAAGATGCAAAAATGAAATAGTTTTCAAATTAATTTGTGAAGTATATTTTTACATAAACTTTTTAAATATTCTAACAAAATTTTAAAAAATTATAATTTTTAATCGTTTAATAGTATGATTAAAAATAAAAATAAAAAATCTTATGTTATAAGCATTAATAACAGTATAATATACGTTGTAATATTTATAAAATTTTTCATTTATAAAATTTTTCATTTATAAAATTTTTCATTTATAAAATAAAAAATTTTTTACATACGTTTCAAGCCAGACAAATATCGTATAATGCTTTGCTTTGCATAACAGAATTACAATTTATAAAGATATAATATACACATAAATTAAAGCAAACATGGCAATCGTCAATGAGTAAACTATGATTATATTATATTTTGAAATATGAAATAAAATCAAAATTAAGCCATAAATCACGAAACTCAATTGCTGAGAAGGCAAGGATACACCACTAAATCAAAACTATTCTTGCACGTTGACTCTCAAATATCCAATTTTTTCCTCCTCTTTTTAGCTTTGCTCTAATTGGTATCGACTCTTTCGTGTCGCAGTGGATGAATTTGCCTTTTCGTTTCAATTAGTGCACAGTAACATTTTTTCGTAGTTCCCCTTTTTCCTAGATTTTCAGCTAATTATACATCGATTCATTCTATTATTCCTTTTAACTATTAAACAATAAAATGTACAAAATAATTTTTAAAAATTTATATTAAGATTAACTTTTATGTCTTTTTAACATAATTGATCGTTAATTGTCAATTGTTCATTATAATTACATTTAGCAAGAATGTCAATTACATTTTTCATGACCTCCAAACTACTTTATTCGATTCACATTAATAATTTGCTGAGTATATCTATAATTTTGAAAAAAAGAGAAATCAAAAAATTATTAAACCATTATATTTAATATGACAATAAAAATGCAAAGAAATTAAAAAATAGAGAGCATTTCATCTAATAAATAGTTACTCACATATATTATAATCTTTCCTCAATAAACGACAGAGATGAATATTAGATTTATAACAGACTCGATTTCAGTAGATGGAAGACTTCATCGGTACTATTTCTACATTTCTTTATTTTTGAATTACTGATCCTGTTGATAACTGTTTAAGTTTAGAAGTATTGAACGTGTGATAAACTCGTTATAATGATCGATTTCAACAACATTGTTTATTATACTCAGTCATTGCACACAAAATTTCGCAAAAGCATTCTGTTCTTAGTCGATAACAATAATCATATGCCATACATGTAACTTGTAATCAGAGTTTTAGATGGAAATTTTTTACATATTCTTCTCATCCGCCTGGTGTTAATTCTTTGAATTATCCTTTTGAACCTAGACAGTTATCAACAGAACCAACCGTTCAGAAATAAAAATCGCATAGAAAAATTATTCACCTCCTAAATTCATAACTGTATAGAAATATTCACAATCTTGTTTTTTTAAATATTTTAAACAATCATTAAATACAACTTTTATAATATTGAATAAATCTTTATGTAACTGTTGTATTTTCATTATTATTTCTATTATAGTTGTTATTTTATTTATTTAATAGGAAAGTAAATGAATATCAAATTTCACATTATCATCTGTAGGTATGCTAATAATAAAATATCTATTTATAAAATATTTTCTTTATTTTATTTATTTATTTTATATTTATGAGTTACAAAAAAAACTTATTTCTATGTGTGTTACGCATTTCATTGAAATTATTTAATTCTTGTAAATTTTACAAATTAGTAATATTTTAAATCTTATCCTATAGCTTTATATTCTAATATAATTCATCATGCATATAAAAAAGGAAACAGTTATTCCTAATTTCTTAAACGTGTAATTGAAATCAGTAAAAATTGTAAAAGATTGTTTTTAACATGATAAAGGAGAAAGACAATTTATAATATTAACAGTTGGTAATATTTCATGGATTCTCATAGACATTTTATTATCTTTTAAATAATAGAAATTACTTATCGATAGCAAGGAATGCCTTGATCTGTAATATTTGCAAAATATCCAACAGAGAGCGTAGATGTTTGATCAGACCGGCGCATAGGAAAGACGGAAGAACATATGTTTAAGTAGTAGCGCATGCGCAATCACTGCTTCCGCGACGTACCTAGCCATCTTTCCAGTCAAGCAAAAGTGATTGTTTTCAGCTTTAGTCTTATTTAACGGAACTTTTATTAATGTCAGAGCCACAGTCCGCGCTTCTACTACGAAAACAATTAGCAGGTATCCAGCAAAAGCAGTATAAGTGCTAAGTGTGATTGGTGCCTCAAATTCGAGCTCAACGAAAAGCCGGAACCGTTCTCGTACTCCAAACTCGTGCGATCTCGTCATCGTTGTGCTTCGACCCTCGAGATTGGCTTTGTGAACATTTTTTCTGCTGAGATATCGGTTTCTCGAAACCTCTGTAACCTTATGTGAGCACCAATTGAGCCTTCCGTAATCTCATGATGGCCCTGCGCCTGATTAGGGCGTGAAAATCAATACGGCTACGGAACCGTAGTGTGCCTCCCATGAATAAGTTTAACCTAGCATTTAATATTGCGTTTACTCATAGTTATCCGAGTCGGGTCAAAACTATTTTGTGAATAATTTTCATGCACAGCGAAGGCTTCGCTGTTACCGAAAATAATTGCAGGCAATGTTATTTATAGCATTTCGCGCGTCACCGAATACAACGCGGTTTGGACTAAAAAAAAGATAGAGAAAACCATGCCGTGCAACGACCACCGAAGGTCAATCTTCTTCGAACCATAACTTCTGTATTACTTCTGACGCAACGACGAAACAATGAAATGCTTTAAAATTTATTTCTACCGTTTATTACGCTTTGTTCTTCGTGCAGTAATCAAGCTTTGTGATTGAATTTTATATGAAATATCATGTCACCGCTGACTCACAAACCCGTGGGTGTTTGAAGATTATTTAGTACGTTTCAACTTAACCTAACCTATACATGTTAAATAACAAAAGTGTTTCTCTCAACCTATTGGACTAATGTGCAGTTTCGTGACATGTTAACGATTTTATTTAAATGTTTTCATTGTCATCAATTTAAATTATAATTAACTACATATATTTTTAAACGGTTCTGTGCTTTTTGATTCGAGCATATTTACAGTGCTTTTGTATTATTTTATTGTTCTGCATTTGATATAAATATAATTTTATTTAAATTTGACTTGAAAAACAATGTAAAATGTGTGCAAAGTAACTACTAACAGGCAGTACTTTTAAAGCTTATTTCTCATAAGAAAATTATTTAAGAATACAAGTATTTAATTAAAATTCTTTTCTTTTCTATAGAATTAAATAAAAACCCAGTAGAAGGGTTTTCAGCAGGGCTCATAGATGACAATGACATATATCAGTGGGAAGTACTCATTATTGGACCTCCAGACACATTATAGTGAGTTATTATTTTGTTTATTATGTGATATAGGAAAATAAAATAACCTTTTGTATTATAAATTTAAAATATCAGATATAATCCCACATATACATATTATATCTATTTTTAAATATTTTTTGCATTTTAGTGAAGGTGGGTTTTTCAAAGCACATTTACAGTTTCCACGAGAGTATCCACTTAGGCCACCAAGAATGAAATTTATAACAGAAATATGGCATCCAAACAGTAAGTCTTTCCCTTTAAAAGATTTTCATACATTGATATGCAAAATAAAAATTAACAAAATATAATACTACATTTGTAGTCGAGAAGAATGGTACTGTATGCATATCGATTTTGCATGAACCTGGAGATGATAAATGGGGCTATGAAAAAGCATCAGAACGGTGGTTACCAGTTCACACAGTTGAGACTATTCTCATAAGTGTTATTAGTATGCTTGCAGATCCTAACGATGAAAGTCCTGCTAATGTGGATGCTGCCGTAAGTAATATTCTATATTAAAATAGTTTATATTATTACATATTTCAATTACTTTTATCAATATTAATTGAAATATTGCAGAAAGAGTGGAGAGAAAGTTACGCAGAATTCAAAAGAAAGGTGGCGAGGTGTGTCAGAAAAAGCCAAGAGGAGTGTATGTAGGAGATGAACAATTATTCAAATGGAAAGACTTATTTAATTCTGGTAAGTTGTATAATGTTTCTACAACTTAAAGATTTAAATAATATTTAATTTGTATATTTAATCTCTTGTTTCTCTACAGGGAAGCCGTAAGCACTGTAAGAAAGAAACCGATGCTCAGCATTAAGCTAATGGATAACAGTGCCACTAAAAACGGATATAGCCTGACCCATTCTTAAGCAGAAAGAGGGAGGCAGAGAATGTGTGAAAATAAAAGATAGTCACACATCTCTATGAAGTTTATACCACCGCTACTGACGTACCATCCATTGATACGAAGAACATAAAGGAAATACATGCAGCTCACCTTTTACATAATAAACAACTAAAAAACTAATTTACACATATACATAATGCAAAAAAATTATCTGTACGATTATTACCTTAATATTGATAGTTATAAACTTAACTTCCCTGTTCCTCCTGCTCAAGAGTTAGCCCCACCCTTTACACCTAAAAGCCTGTAATTTAAAATGTTTACGTTTATTATTGAATAATAATTCCTTAGTGGCGTTTCGTATTTTCTTACTTTCGTAAATATACATAAATAAATTTTTGTAAAGTCAAATACACGGTATATATATGCTACAATCGTTAAATGTAATGCCAGTAAAATATGGAAACAAAATATATGTGAATTAATTGTAACTGCGGCAAATATAATGTCGATTAAGCTGTACAATCGCGGCTATGTAAAGAAATGTGAAATTTCCGTTGAACCGTAAGTTGCCAAAATAACGAATTCTAATTAAAGTGATAATAATGCAAATAACAATATTATTAGAAATATACCAGTAATTACAACTAGTAAACGTAACATAAAATTTCGTATATGGCTACAGAAACTTTGTACACATTTTTAACCAGTGCCAGTTTGTGGAGTGATTGTTAAATTCTACCTTTTTTGTATACTCAAACTTGCGGTTCAAAATCATAGATACATTCAAATTTTTTATTCGACTACATATAATTTCATACTGTCAATTAAATTCTACAATGTGGAAAATGTCTATTACATTGAACCTACATTCTACTTATGTTATCTAAGATAAAAAAATGTTTTTACTATTACTGAAACAAATTAATTTTTTTTATACTGTGATTAATTGTTTGCCTATGTATAATAAATAATAATACCTTATTTTGAATAGATTACAATATATTTAAATAAAATTTCTTTGATTTCATAAATTATTACTTTCTTTTATATTTTGTTTTATATAATAAAAATTTGTACACATTCTTACTCAATATATGACTAACACTAAATTTTTGGCATCAAAGAATAAAAAAATTTATAATCACGTATATAAGTAATAAATTACAAAGCAGAATAATGTATAATAGATAACACAAAATATTATTTTAATGATAAAAATAACTGATAAATAGCAAATACATTTACTGATACAATTCTACATTTTTTAGCGGTATCGTAATTTTTAATTGTATACAACACTATTAATATGTTTAATATTTGATTTCGATATGTACATATTTACATGTATGCAATTTTGAATAGAAAAACTAGATAAAAATGATGGAAAATTTTTCTATAATTTAATCAATTAGATATATAATTACAAAAAATTAGTCGGATTTACAGAACAAGAAAACATACATACGTAAAAATTATTGTGATAAATAATTCATAATAAAAATACTTGTTAAAATAATATAAAGGTATATTGAATTAAAACATTTTAAGTGGATATAGAAGATGCCTAATTTATCGGCATGAGAGATTCAAATTTCTGTATTCAATTTCCTTCAAAATCAGTGTCAGTTTCATGTGCTTGTTTACATTATATGTTACGTTATGGGTTAAGGCAGTGCATTAAAAGCTTAATTTTGTTGTATTCTAACATAGTTTTTGAAAGAAAGTAATGAAATATCTTCGAAATTAAAATTTATGTACGTCAAAAATAAATATGATATTGTTTTAAAACATTATTTTATACAACAATTGCGATCAATTTTGCTATGAGTAGTATTGTTTTTGTTTCATTCCTTTTCAATTTAATTATTTTTCGTTATCAAGAATTTTGACGTAGTTTCCAAACATTTTTGGTTTCTATTAAACCAAGTAATTTATAATTATGAACGATGAACAAATTGTTTTAACATTACCTGATACACAAAACGCGGATTCAGTATGTTTAACTCAAACACAAGAATTATCACAAGAAAAAGTCATGACTATATGGGGCAGATTATGTCCTATTAAATTACCTTTCAAAACAATGGGTAAGTATAATAGATATAATTATTCAATATTATGTATTATTTCATGTTTATATATATATATTATATAATATAATTGAATGTATAATGTATAATTTCTGTTATTAATTACATTATAAATGTAATTTATTCAATTGTGAATGATATAAAACAAAAATAATTACTTTTATAGAAATGACAAAAGATGTTTATACACTTGGCCGATCAGAAAATTGTGATGTTTGTGTAACTAATAATGAATTAAAGCCAAAATGGCTTTGTGTAATAAGTAAAGTTCATTTTAAAATAACTAGAGAATTTATTGATGGTAATACTAATGACGTCATAGTATATTTGCAAGACTTAAGTCAGAATGGCACATTTGTTAATAAAAAGAAAGTAGGTCGTGGAAATAAAGTAATACTCGAGAGTAATGATATAATATCTTTAGCACAATCAGCTATTACTGGTAAGTGTATTTTTTATTCTATTAAACTGTCCCTAAGTTTCATATTTTATTTATACTATATAATACAACATTTGCAACAGTTTATGTATTTATGAGTACAATAGCATTTGAAAGTAATAACTTACCTCCTCAACTCAAAAATAAATATGCAGTATCACGTAAGTTAGGATCTGGAGCATGTGGAGAAGTTAAAATGGTATTTAATAAAGTTGATTGTAAAAAATTTGCTATGAAAACTATTATGAAAATAGGTGGCACAACAAATGGACAAAAACATCCATTAAATGATCCTGAGAAGATTATGAATGAAGTCAAAATATTAAAAGCCTTAAAACATGTGAGTTAATATATAAGTTACTAAAATTATGTAATATATTAATATGTATTTTATTCTTTAGCCTTGTATAATTCGAATGGAAGAAATTGTAGATACCCCAAAAGCTGTGTATATAGTTTTGGAATTGATGGAAGGTGGTGAACTTTTTGAAAGAATAAAAAGTAAAGGAAGATTATCTGAAAAATATGCAAAATTAATTTTTTATCAAGTTGTATTAGCTGTTAGTTACCTTCATGATTGTGGTATTACTCATAGAGATTTGAAGGTATATTTTGTAAAAATTATTGATATAATATTTTATTTTAAATACATATAACATATAAATATTGTGTAACTGTGTTTATAGCCTGAAAATATATTATTAGCTAGTAATTCAGACATTACATTAGCAAAAGTATCAGACTTTGGTTTATCAAAGTTAGTTGATGCACAAACTATGATGAAAACATTTTGTGGAACTCCTATGTATGTTGCACCTGAAATACTGTCTAATATTGGACGTGGTTCTTATACGAATCAAGTATGTTTATTCACATAATAAATATCTACAAGAAATAAAATTTCATATTTTATATTTTTAAATTTACTAGGTTGATGTATGGAGTTTGGGAGTAATATTATATGCTTGTTTAAGTGGTTCAGTGCCTTTTAACTGTCAAGACAAAAATATTAGTTTACAAGATCAAATAAAAAGAGGATATTATTGTTTTCCTTCCTCAAAATTTGGACACATTTCAAATAAAGCTATTGATTTGGTATAGAATTATGTGATGAAATATTGTTAAATTTAGTTATATGAATAAAAATAATTTTACTTTCTAATATTACTTTTTTTAGATCAAGTGTATGATGACGGTTAATCCAAAAAAACGGATTTCAATTAAACAAGTTTTATTACATCCTTGGTTACAAGACCGTGATCTTCGTGACACTGTTGATTCTTTGTTATCACAAGAAAATGATGAAAATATAGCACCTCAAAGTATTTCTAACAGTGTTCAATGTAAAAATGAACAGTTTCGAAGTTTAATAAAAAGAGCGAGGTTAGAAATATAATTATAAATGCATAAATTTATGTAATATATAAATAAAATACGTTTCTAAATTAATCATTAAATTTAACTTTGTTAAATTATAATTGCAGAAATTTTTTTTTTTTTTTAATTTTGTATTATTTTTTGTTTGTTTTTAATAACATTTCAAGAATCACTAAATTCTAATCTATTTGTTACAAATGAAATATTGTTTATGGTATAAACTGATTATTTACTCGGTAATCTATTCAGTTAGCAAAAGTCAATCTACATTTAAGTATATCACAAATGTTCAACTTCATTTTTCATTAAGTTAATAAGAAAATCAGATTAAAGTAATTACACTTTAAATTGATTTAATCTACAAGTACAATCTATGTATAATAAATAATAATACCTTATTTTGAATAGATTACAATATATTTAAATAAAATTTCTTTGATTTCATAAATTATTACTTTCTTTTATATTTTGTTTTATATAATAAAAATTTGTACACATTCTTACTCAATATATGACTAACACTAAATTTTTGGCATCAAAGAATAAAAAAATTTATAATCACGTATATAAGTAATAAATTACAAAGCAGAATAATGTATAATAATAGATAACACAAAATATTATTTTAATGATAAAAATAACTGATAAATAGCAAATACATTTACTGATACAATTCTACATTTTTTAGCGGTATCGTAATTTTTAATTGTATACAACACTATTAATATGTTTAATATTTGATTTCGATATGTACATATTTACATGTATGCAATTTTGAATAGAAAAACTAGATAAAAATGATGGAAAATTTTTCTATAATTTAATCAATTAGATATATAATTACAAAAAATTAGTCGGATTTACAGAACAAGAAAACATACATACGTAAAAATTATTGTGATAAATAATTCATAATAAAAATACTTGTTAAAATAATATAAAGGTATATTGAATTAAAACATTTTAAGTGGATATAGAAGATGCCTAATTTATCGGCATGAGAGATTCAAATTTCTGTATTCAATTTCCTTCAAAATCAGTGTCAGTTTCATGTGCTTGTTTACATTATATGTTACGTTATGGGTTAAGGCAGTGCATTAAAAGCTTAATTTTGTTGTATTCTAACATAGTTTTTGAAAGAAAGTAATGAAATATCTTCGAAATTAAAATTTATGTACGTCAAAAATAAATATGATATTGTTTTAAAACATTATTTTATACAACAATTGCGATCAATTTTGCTATGAGTAGTATTGTTTTTGTTTCATTCCTTTTCAATTTAATTATTTTTCGTTATCAAGAATTTTGACGTAGTTTCCAAACATTTTTGGTTTCTATTAAACCAAGTAATTTATAATTATGAACGATGAACAAATTGTTTTAACATTACCTGATACACAAAACGCGGATTCAGTATGTTTAACTCAAACACAAGAATTATCACAAGAAAAAGTCATGACTATATGGGGCAGATTATGTCCTATTAAATTACCTTTCAAAACAATGGGTAAGTATAATAGATATAATTATTCAATATTATGTATTATTTCATGTTTATATATATATATTATATAATATAATTGAATGTATAATGTATAATTTCTGTTATTAATTACATTATAAATGTAATTTATTCAATTGTGAATGATATAAAACAAAAATAATTACTTTTATAGAAATGACAAAAGATGTTTATACACTTGGCCGATCAGAAAATTGTGATGTTTGTGTAACTAATAATGAATTAAAGCCAAAATGGCTTTGTGTAATAAGTAAAGTTCATTTTAAAATAACTAGAGAATTTATTGATGGTAATACTAATGACGTCATAGTATATTTGCAAGACTTAAGTCAGAATGGCACATTTGTTAATAAAAAGAAAGTAGGTCGTGGAAATAAAGTAATACTCGAGAGTAATGATATAATATCTTTAGCACAATCAGCTATTACTGGTAAGTGTATTTTTTATTCTATTAAACTGTCCCTAAGTTTCATATTTTATTTATACTATATAATACAACATTTGCAACAGTTTATGTATTTATGAGTACAATAGCATTTGAAAGTAATAACTTACCTCCTCAACTCAAAAATAAATATGCAGTATCACGTAAGTTAGGATCTGGAGCATGTGGAGAAGTTAAAATGGTATTTAATAAAGTTGATTGTAAAAAATTTGCTATGAAAACTATTATGAAAATAGGTGGCACAACAAATGGACAAAAACATCCATTAAATGATCCTGAGAAGATTATGAATGAAGTCAAAATATTAAAAGCCTTAAAACATGTGAGTTAATATATAAGTTACTAAAATTATGTAATATATTAATATGTATTTTATTCTTTAGCCTTGTATAATTCGAATGGAAGAAATTGTAGATACCCCAAAAGCTGTGTATATAGTTTTGGAATTGATGGAAGGTGGTGAACTTTTTGAAAGAATAAAAAGTAAAGGAAGATTATCTGAAAAATATGCAAAATTAATTTTTTATCAAGTTGTATTAGCTGTTAGTTACCTTCATGATTGTGGTATTACTCATAGAGATTTGAAGGTATATTTTGTAAAAATTATTGATATAATATTTTATTTTAAATACATATAACATATAAATATTGTGTAACTGTGTTTATAGCCTGAAAATATATTATTAGCTAGTAATTCAGACATTACATTAGCAAAAGTATCAGACTTTGGTTTATCAAAGTTAGTTGATGCACAAACTATGATGAAAACATTTTGTGGAACTCCTATGTATGTTGCACCTGAAATACTGTCTAATATTGGACGTGGTTCTTATACGAATCAAGTATGTTTATTCACATAATAAATATCTACAAGAAATAAAATTTCATATTTTATATTTTTAAATTTACTAGGTTGATGTATGGAGTTTGGGAGTAATATTATATGCTTGTTTAAGTGGTTCAGTGCCTTTTAACTGTCAAGACAAAAATATTAGTTTACAAGATCAAATAAAAAGAGGATATTATTGTTTTCCTTCCTCAAAATTTGGACACATTTCAAATAAAGCTATTGATTTGGTATAGAATTATGTGATGAAATATTGTTAAATTTAGTTATATGAATAAAAATAATTTTACTTTCTAATATTACTTTTTTTAGATCAAGTGTATGATGACGGTTAATCCAAAAAAACGGATTTCAATTAAACAAGTTTTATTACATCCTTGGTTACAAGACCGTGATCTTCGTGACACTGTTGATTCTTTGTTATCACAAGAAAATGATGAAAATATAGCACCTCAAAGTATTTCTAACAGTGTTCAATGTAAAAATGAACAGTTTCGAAGTTTAATAAAAAGAGCGAGGTTAGAAATATAATTATAAATGCATAAATTTATGTAATATATAAATAAAATACGTTTCTAAATTAATCATTAAATTTAACTTTGTTAAATTATAATTGCAGAAATTTTTTTTTTTTTTTAATTTTGTATTATTTTTTGTTTGTTTTTAATAACATTTCAAGAATCACTAAATTCTAATCTATTTGTTACAAATGAAATATTGTTTATGGTATAAACTGATTATTTACTCGGTAATCTATTCAGTTAGCAAAAGTCAATCTACATTTAAGTATATCACAAATGTTCAACTTCATTTTTCATTAAGTTAATAAGAAAATCAGATTAAAGTAATTACACTTTAAATTGATTTAATCTACAAGTACAATTATAATCTAGATAGAATAAATATTATAGTAAAATTAAAAATATATTAATAAAAAATTGTGATTGGTATGCACCAAAACATTGTACAAATAGTAGTTATAAGAAATTATTTTTGTATTTTACATTTTTGTATGTTTATGATTATTAAAAAATGCATTAATGATGTATATTATCTTCTTCCTTACTAAAATTTTTGTATATATAAATTTAAAAAATTTTTAATTTGTTGCTAAATTATATCCTGATAATTTTTAATTTCAAAACAAATAAAACATTATACATAATAGGAAAAACCGATTTATATACAACTACAGATCGTATCAAGAACAATATTTTATTAACCACACTTTCGTTTTCTATTTATTCCTCTCTACATGGATATTCTTCTTCGCCATGACATGGATTTGGAAGTGGAGTCTCCATGTCGGGTCTTTCTTTTTTAGTAAGTCCGGCTAACAATCTTTTTATTTGAGCTATTGCCTTTCCAGGATTTAAACCCTTCAAACAATTATTTATATAATAATAAAATTACTAATAATATTTTAATTCCTATTTTCTACATTTTATTGAGTTATGCATATTTCGTACCTTGGGACAAGTTTTTGTGCAATTGAAAATAGTGTGACATCGATATACCGAATAAAAGTCACGTAATTTACTTAGTCTTTCTTTATGTCCCATGTCACGTGAATCTATAATCCACCGATAAGCCTGCGCAATGAAAATATTTTACTTTACAATAATAGATGTATCAAAAATTACTATCTGGAATATTGCATTTTTAAAACAATCTACCTGCAAAAGCGTTGCAGGACCTAAAAACTTATCACCAAGCCACCAATACGGTGGACAGGCGAAAGTACAGCATCCACAAAGAATACATTCATATAAGCCATTAAGTTTTTCTCTATCTTTTGGACTTTGTAGAATTTGTCTTAAACCGAGAAAATTATCTTCTCCAGTTCGTTTTAAAAACGGTTCAATAGTCTGATATTGTTTCAAGAATTGCTCCATGTCCGTTACTAAGTCTCTAATTACGTATGAATGTGGTAAAGGATACACGACTATAGGCTTCGATGATTGCTTTACTTTTCTAAAAATAAAAAATAGGGTACTATACGGCTTTGTAATAAGAAAGATGTGAATATGTTTTAAATAGTTATTATGACTTAAACACAGTGCAAATAATCATGCCGATAATTAAACCTATAATATATGTACATCGTCATTATTAAACAAAAATATTATTTTTCCCGCATTACGTGATGCAAGCCAAGGTATTGACACCATTTATATTCATCGAACAACTTCCACAAATTCCTTCACGGCAGGATTTTCGGTAGGATAACGTGGGATCGTGTTCTGCCTTTATTAATGCCAATACATCTAATACCATTGTACCACATTTATTTAAATCCACACTGAATTGTTGCATGTATGGTTTTACATTAGGTTTTTCTGGGTTCCAACGATATACCCGAACAGTCTGGAGTCTTGGCTTTGCTTCTACTTTTCGTGCCTAAAAATTAAATAATATGCTGTGCCATTCAAACTGCTTATGTTTATTCCTTAGAATTTTTCAACTAATTCGTATCTTATATTACATTGAAATTAATATATTACATGTGTACGTAATGTATAAAAATAACATATTTCACATAATTTTATAACTTTCGAAACTTAAAGATAATTTGTTCCTTGGTGATAAGGAAACGAAAAAAGCTTTTGGTGATAAATTTCTCATTAATTGACTAACACTGATAAATACTAACTTCTAGAGGTATTTTGCAATCTTTTACAATAGCAGCTTCAGCACTAATAATATTTTCTGTCTCGTATGGTTGCTTTTCCACCTTTTTTCCACTGGACAAAAATCTATGGCTTCGAAAACAGCTATTTTTGTATGTGCCTCGACGAAGAGACGCAATTGTACAAGACCACAATTGGCTTGCATGACTGATGATGTTAAAGTCGAACATACTTGTAGAAGTTTTATGAGAAGCCTTTTAAATCCGTCACTTGAGATTATAAAGGCATATTTCGTTTTTATAATCATTCGATCATTTCGTTTTGTAGCGACTGTATAATTCTTAGTTAAGATAGAAACAAAATATCATCGTTCGAAAGAACTTCATAGTTATTCCCTGACAATTTAAAAGTGCAAATGTCGTATAGTACAATTTATATAATACTACAAAATTGCAATAATGGAATAAAAATAACTATATGATATATTTTCCGATTAAAGTTGGTTCGAAAAACGTATATACGTATTGAAAATGATGCAATTACAAACATGCAATCATACGGTTATAAATTCACAATTATTTGTTAAAACAAATGACATGTTAGCATATACTATTTTCAACGATAAAAATACGTTATCAAGTTCATTTGTTTCAAGAAATTACTGACGTACATACTCGATATGGATATGCGACGTTAATATTTATTTTTATAATAACAACAGATAACTCTTACTATCTTCCTTTTTAGGTAAATTGTTTACGACTTATTTTTATATTGATATACAACTACTTTCTAAGTCTTACAGTTATATAAAATTTATATACTTTTATCTATTACAAACATAGTCAATCATTTTGAGTAATTAATTTTGTTACTACTTTTTCTATAAGTTATCAAGGTATTCAAAAAATTAATTACAAGTACTGTTATAAACATTTTATCATCATAAAATAACAAATATATTTCAAATGTTAAAACAATAAATTATATTTGTTTGAATACTTTACTTATATTATGGCTGTATCACTTCACAACAGAAAATAAATATCGTGAGCTCTTAAAGGGTCAGAAGTTATCATTCGCTACAAACAAGTCATAATGGATTAACCCCCGCGAAGAAATAGTCTTCTTTATAGAAATTAAGCTGTACTGACTTAATTAAAGATTTCATGGTTTTATAAATAAGAACAAAAAAGATTAACGTTACTTCATCACTACCTGTTGCTTTGAAGAATGTGTTTAAACATGCGTTTGAATGATTAAGAAGTGTTTAAATATTGTGAATTAAATTATATAAAATTTAAAATTGAGTGTGTAGTGCTAAAAAGTCGTGAGGGAATACAAAAATTTATTGTGCGATCATTAATTGATAATTTCAAAAAGTACAAAAATTTGGTGAAATATACAAAATACGGAGGTTATAGTTTTTAATAGTTTATTGTATAAGTAAGTTTATGGCATATAATATTACTAATTATATTATATTAGTTATTAAATATAATTTTTAAATAGTTTTATGAATATTTTGTTTTCATTCAATGTTTAATAAATATTATTTGTATATGTAATATTAAACAAGATTATATAAAATTTATTTTATTATATATACTATATTTTTTTACATTTCATTATTATTAATAAGAAATTTAACACTTTATTAGACAGTATGCAGTATACTGTGTTACTTATTGGTGGTGGTGGCAGAGAACATGTTATTGCTTGGAAACTTTCACAATCTTCATATGTAAGTATTTTAAATATAACAGATTAATATCATCACTTAAAAAAATATATAAGAAATAGTGTTTTATATTAAAAAGTTTAATTTATATACTTTTGTAATAATAATAATTTATATAATAATTAGTTTGTTTATTTTTAATATATTATTTTCTAGGTAAATAAAATTTATGTTTCTCCTGGAAACAGTGGAATTTCGTCAGTCGATAAGGTTTCTTTGATAAAATTAAATGTTAAAGATAATAAAGTACGTTTTTTATTCTGAAAATTAAATAATTTAATTATATAAATGAATTAAATAAAATTATGCCAAATTATTTTATTACATAGGAGGTAGCACTATGGAGTAAAAATAATAAAATAGATTTAGTAGTTATTGGTCCAGAAGAATATTTGGCTAATGGATTAGTAGATGAATTAAAAAATGTAGGAATTAATTGCTTTGGCCCACAAAAAACAGCATCTAAAATTGAAGCTGATAAGTATTGGGCAAAAAATTTTATGGATAAATATCAAATTCCTACAGCAAGATGGAAGGGATTTACAAATGCAGGAGAAGCAAAAGAATTTGTTATGAAGTAGATATAAAATTTATACATATTGTAAAAAAGAATATTTTATATTCTATATATATATATCATAATTTATTACAGTGCACCATTTCCAGCCCTTGTAATAAAAGCTTCAGGTTTAGCAGCTGGAAAAGGAGTTCTAGTAGCAGAAAATAAAAAAGAAGCATGTAAAGCAATAGATGAAATTTTAACAGATAAAAAGTTTGGATCAGCTGGTGATTCAATAGTTGTGGAAGAATTATTGGAAGGAGAAGAAATTTCTGTACTTGCATTTACAGATGGTATAAAAGCAATTTTTAATACGAATTATTCAATTTTATTGCAATATATTTTTTAAGAATTTAGTATAATATAGTTTTCTTCCTTTTTTATATAGGAAAAACTATTATACCAATGGCACCTGTACAAGATCATAAAAGAATATTTAATGGAGATACAGGTCTAAATACTGGTGGTATGGGTGCTTACTGTCCATGTCCATTATTCAACAAAGAAGATAATAAAATAGTAAAATCAAATATCTTACAAAAAGCTATTGATGGTCTTGCACAAGAACAAATTCCATTTATTGGTGTGTATTAAATATTATAGTTATAATGTAATTTGTGAAAATAATGTAATATTATAAAAATTTATTATTTTATAAAATATAGGTGTACTATATGCTGGATTGATGTTAACAAAGGATGGTCCAAAAGTTCTAGAATTTAATTGTAGATTTGGAGATCCTGAAACACAAGTTATATTACCATTGTTGAAGTCAGATTTATTTAATATTATGAAGGTAATTATATTTTAATGTAAAACAGTGTAACTGGAATTAATACAATATATATGGATATAGGCATGTTGTGATGGTACTTTAACTGAATCCCAAATTGTATGGGAAGAAAATTTGTTTGCTGTTGGTGTCATTTTGGCTTCTCGAGGATATCCAATATCATCATCAAAAGGTCAAGTTATAACAGGGATTGATAATGTTTTGAGTAAAACAAATCAATTTATTTTCCATAGTGGAACAGACATTTCTCCTAAAGGAGAGTTATTAACTAACGGTACAGTTTATACAACTGCATCAAATTACATATAACTATATATATTCAATATTACTCAGCTTTTTTGTTTATTTATCAGGAGGAAGAGTTTTAATTACTGTAAGTTTAGCACCTACATTGGCTTTAGCTGCTGCTAAAGCAACATATGCTGCCCAAAGTATTTCATTTGAAGGAAAGCAGTTTAGAACAGATATAGCACATAAAGGAATAGCAAGGTATATTACAAGAAATATTATAATAGAACAAAATTGTAATGAATATTGTAATATTGTTAGGTCTATTTTACACCATGGCCAATTAACATATAAGAGTAGTGGTGTGAACATAGAAGCTGGAGATTTGTTAGTTTCAGCTATTAAACCAATATCATGCTCGACAAAACGCTTGGGTACAATGGGTTCAATTGGTAGCTTTGGTGGTTTATTTGATCTAAAAGCTATTGGTTATAAAGATCCAATTTTGGTATCTGGAACTGATGGCGTTGGAACTAAATTAAAAGTATGTACATATTTATCAAAATTTTTTTTAAATGTTAGAGGAGTATGTAGTATATTAATTTATTACTATAGATAGCATTTGAATGCAAAGAGCATAATACAGTGGGTATAGATTTAGTGGCTATGTGTGTAAATGATATTCTCGCACACGGTGCAGAACCGTTATATTTCCTCGATTATTTTGCCTGTGGTAATTTAGATGTCAACGTAGCTAGAGATGTTATAAGTGGAATAAGTGAAGGTTGCAAACAAGCTGGGTGTTCTTTAGTAAGTAAAAGTAAATTTATTTTCCAATTTTCTCTAGTGTCTTCAATCTTATTATAAACAGTACATATTATTATTATAAATAATGGATTTAGATTGGTGGAGAAACAGCAGAAATGCCAGATATGTATTCTAATGGAGAGTATGATTTAGCTGGTTTTTCTGTAGGAGCAGTTGAAAGAAATGATTTACTTCCACGTATAGATAGCATAAAACAAGGTGACATTATAATTGGTCTTCCATCAAGTGGTGTGCATAGTAATGGATTCAGTTTAGTTCGAAAAATTTTGAAATTAGCAGATAAAAAATATTCAGATATAGCACCTTTTTCCGAAAATCAAACAATTGGTATTTACTTTATTTCTACTTTATTTCTACTTTATTTCTACTTTATTTCTTACTTTACCTATATTACTTTCTATGTGTAAAAAAGAGTTTATTTTCATTTATTGTACTTTGGAGGTGAGGAATTGTTAAAACCCACAAAAATTTATGTGAAAGGAGTAATTTCTGCTTTACGAACAAATTTAGTAAAAGCATTTGCACATATTACTGGAGGAGGTCTGACAGAAAATATACCAAGAATTTTACCAGATGATATGGGAGTAATTTTGAATGCAAAAATGTGGAGAATTCAACCAATTTTTGCTTGGTTAGCATGTGTAGGTAAGAAAACAAATAAAAAATATGAATTAAACTTTAACTTATAAATTTACTTTATATTTGTACTATTTTGAAATTTTATAGGAGGAATTAATACAGAAGAAATGTTACGAACATTTAATTGTGGCATTGGTGCTATTTTAATTTGTTCAGAAAAAGATAAAGATGAAGTTTTAACTAAATTACAAATAGAAAATCCTAAAATCATTGGATATGTAACCAATTATAACAGTAAGTTGTATTTAATATTATATCATTAAAACTGTATTTATGCTGAAAATATTACAGATAATCAAATTAGAGTAAATGTCAGAAATTTTGAAGAAGTATTAGAGTTAGGAATGAAGCAACATATACCAGAGATCATGTCCAAATTAAGTAAGCCTTTAAAAAGAGTAGGTGTTTTAATATCTGGTAGCGGAACTAATTTACAATCACTTATCGATGCAACACGGGATTCATCGCAACATATTGGTGCTGAAATTGTTATAGTCATATCCAATAAACCAGATGTTGAAGGACTTAAACGAGCAGAAAGAGCTGGTATTAAAACCATGGTAATTATTCTTTAAGTTTTCTATATCTTTTGATCTATTATTACAATTGTATAATATTTATATTTTGATCTCAATGTATACTTATAGGTTATTAAAAACACTGATTATCCTAATCGGGAAATTTTTGATGAAGCAATAAATGTTGAGCTTGATGCTGTTGGAGTTGAAATAGTGTGCCTTGCTGGATTTATGCGTATTTTATCAGATAATTTCGTAAATCGATGGTGTGGTGCTTTAATAAATGTACATCCTTCATTATTACCTGCGTTTAAAGGTGCATATGCACATAAAGATGCTTTAGAAGCCGGAGTCCGTATTTCAGGATGTACAGTGCATTTCGTTGATGTATGATATACTTTTAAATAATTAATATAAACATATTACATTAAAAATTTATTTATTCTAAAGAACTGTCTTATAGATTAAAAAATAATTTTTAGATTGCTATAGATTCTGGAGCAATTATTGAACAAGCAGTAGTACCTGTATTACCACATGATACTGTAGAAACTCTTCAAGAGCGAGTAAAAATAGCCGAACATCGTATTTTTCCACTTGCTTTAAAACATTTGGCTACAGGAAGGATACAGTTAAAAGAAGACAATACTATTATATGGAATTATTAAAGTTAAAATATAATATATCATATATTTTTACTTATACATTAAATTTTCTAAGAGTAAAGAATATCATTAAAAGAAATCACAATAATAGTATATTTTTCTACATTTTTAAAGCTTTTTATTAAAGATGAAAGATATTATTCCGAATAAACTACCTTCTTCATTAACAGAAGCATCAGAATTTACTTTTTTTGAATTATGCTTTTTAACTGCTCTTTGTGGTGGTACTGAAAGTACTTCTTTTGCAAGATCTTCTAATTTAACATGAAGCATTTGTTTTTGAAGTATAGGTACCAATAAATTATATTTATCGATTTTACTATTTATTTGTTTTGTTTTAGATCTAAAATTTTCTACAATATTGTTCCAAGATTCTTCATCTGTAAAACTTAATGGAAGAAGTCCTACATTATTACGGGCATTTATTAATTGCTTCCGTAAATTTTGTATTTCTTCTCTAATTTCTTTAGATAACTGTATCCATTCAGGAGTAAATCCATTTTCTATTAGTATCTGTAATTTAATTCTATACGTTATTTTCTGGAAATTTTTCATTTAATTTGACTTTTTATACCTCATTCAATTTATAAGTAACAAAATCAACATATGGATTTCGAGTATTTGTATTTTCCTTCAGCGGTTTACCCATGCCTGGTAGATCTTTAAATTCACCTTTATTCATTGCTTCTTGAATTAAATCTTCTACTAAACGATCCATACCAAAGCGTGTCTTAATATCTTTTGCATGTTGCTTATCCATTCCAATTAATGTATTACGTTCCTCGGCTTGGATCTTTTTTAATCTGTGATTCAATACATTATCAACTGCTTTCTGAGCTCTTTCCATTGTATACAATTTTTGTCTTTTGCTAAGTGTTCCATCTCCTATGTTATACATTAAATAATGCCGATGCTGTGGTGCTGTATGCTAAAAAGTAAATATTGCACATATATTAGATTAGTAAACTGTAATAATGTACAATATATACATTCTCTAATATTGCATTTGTACTTTAATATCATATTCTCCCACTTTAGGTAAATTTGTATTATCTTCTTTCTCTTTTATCCTTGCTTTACGAATTTGTCTATAGGCAGTTTCTACCTATAACAAAAGATATTATACATTATACTTTGCAATATTAAATCTTTATTAATAAAAAAATACATCACACCTCAGAAAATTTGACTGCATTAGCTTCTGATGTACCACTATCTGGATGAAATCTTTTTGCTTGATGGACAAATGCTAATTTTAGTGCCTCATCTTCACAATCTTCTGCAACTTCTAGAGTTTGATACCATTTCTTAAAATACAACAAAATTTGTATAACTTAATTAATAAATAAAACAATTTATAATATATAACAATTTTATATTTGCAATAATGTAGGAAAACATAGCAACAGTATAAAAGATATCAGAAGAGTATAATTATTACATGTTATATAGATATTAGAATAGTAGAATTATAAAAGGTATAAATAGTAATTGATATTGTTTGAAAATTAAACTGTATAGGTATACAGGTTTTAGCAATCAATAATAGCAATCCAACAATGTTACATTAATGTAAATTGTTCCAAATACCTTTAATGACATAAGATGGGCTGTTTTATATATTTATTTATTGTTAAATGACATTATAATGAAGATTGTTAAAATTGTTCAAATGTCAGCTATTTTACTCAAAATAAGAATGAACGAATGAATAAATATCATTTAAGAAAAGATAGGCGTGACCTTGAAAGGTACAAAAGTTTTCCATGCACAAAAAAATTATTACTGACATGTAATACTCCTCACTGAACCATACAACTTTTGTAAATATAATTTTTCTATACCACTAAAAATAACAAAGATAATCAGAGAGTATTTTATTACTTCATACATACCTTTAATATAAGTAAGAATATTTGAATTGAAGATTCATTGCATACATACCTTATTAAAGATAATTATATATTTAACACTAATTATAATCTTACTATATAAATATACTATTATAACCAAATGTAATTTTACATGTAAACAAAAATGATGATTACATTTAAATTCAATAATGGATATATTCTATAGGAATCTACATTAAAGTCAAAACATATAAAATTAATGTTACGTATAATATGAAAAATACATACTTTCATATCATGTTGATGTTTGAATCTTCTTATTAACATAAATTCCCAAGAAGGTGAATAAAGTATATATCTAAATAATTTTCTATTGCACTGATTATATCTTAACATGATTTTTTAAAAATTAAATACTACAATGATTTTGATATCTTATTTTACGATTATATAATTGACTGCGCTATTATAATATATATTAACATATGAACTATTGTTTATATTAAATGTTCAAAGTAACCTACATGTCTGTACTAAAAAATGTTTATAAATTGTATATTACGAATGACATTCTTTTAAAATATACTTTTCGGTATGAATTATACGTTATAAACATATTAATGCCTACTTTTTTAACAAACAATGAATACAATCTTCAAAAATCATGTAAGAATTAGCACAATATTGACGTTTAAGAAACATATGTACATCATTCAAAATCACGTGATAAAAATATATATATATATATCACTCAGCTGTTTATCACATAACTATATATATATCTATCGATATATATAAAGAATGAATAGATATGTAGATGTATATAAATGATGTCAAAATTTTTCTCTTTTTAGTCATTTTAATACAAATATTTTAATAATAATATTTGACAGTTCATTTTTATATTTCTATTACGTATAAAAAAAATTGCAACCTTTAAGAATAATTTTCGAACAACACTTTAAATATATATATTTAATATAAAAAATAAATAAAAAATTATTTTATTGTAACTTAAGACTATAATATAATAATTTTAAGTACATTTACAATGTATGATTTAATAAATATAGTTTATATAGGTAATAAAATAATTTCAGACTTTTCTAATTAGCTTTATTTTGTGATATTAATCAACGTGAGCTTAATGTAACATATTATACATTCAAATAGATATTATATTATCATTAATATTATTATGTAATAATAATTCACGTTATCTTAATGCGATGTATTATGCTTTTGATCATATCCATTTTTTAAATATTTGTATTTTAATTTAAAATAAAATATAGTTTTAAAAATATTAATTTTAAATTTATGTCGGTATTGCCACAATCTAGTAACCGAATGTTTCTCTAGGGAAAGTGTTATGCTTTTGTTATTGTACTTCTGATAAAATAATATGTAATGTTTAGATCACACGTTCATTTTTCATATTAGAAGACATAGAAAATACGCATATCCAAATACAAAGTAAATATAATTTATTATTTCCTTATAACAAAACCCCACAAAACAATATAATTTTGTGAATAGTGTAGTTGACTATTGTGATATTTATTGTATGTGATTTTATGTATAATTCAGACTAAAATATCAATTGCAATTGATATGCATATATAAATATGTTTATATATATATATATATATATATGTATGTATGTATGTGTGTGTATATGTGCGTATATATATATATAATTTTAAGTACATTTATATATATATACACATATTTTATTGTAATGCCTGTTTGTGGAGTTTTAAAGAACTTAATATAATTCTATTTTTAAATATTAGAAAATGAAGAATCTATGACAATCTAGTTACTTGCATTTCGTGTAAATGTAAATGAAAATAATACACATGCGGATGAAACCGGATGTATACATTTTGTAGGCATGCGTATTACCGTATTGTATCTTTTTTTCGTTTTCCGTTGACGTCAGTTTTCCATGTACTTGCAGAAAAAGAAACGTTACTCTAACTTTTAGAATTTATATCTAATTATTTCGAATGCATAAGTATATTTATTTTCTGTTATATTTGTAAATTTTGTAAACTTTTTGTGTAAAATAACGTTTGGATGGTGAGCTTGATCTGTTGATCTTCATCGTGAGGCTTGCAAGTTTACGATACAAACATGCAAGTGCAAGAAGCGGAAGGAGCTGACGGTAAGTAAACCTAAATTATATTTTATATATGTTTCTTCAAATGCTTTATTTTTATAATATTTGATATATAGATAAGATATTTTGTAGTGTATTATGATCACTGTGATACACTTAACCTCTATTATGTGATTTATATATGTTGATTACTATTACGTATTACGATTCGATAAATATTTAAGTATAATATTTGTATATAGGTTCACCATGGAACAATTCCAGTGGTTGCGATGAAGATCGTCGACCGACTCAAAAGGAGGGTAAAAAATCGAATATTCTACCTCTATGGGGAAATGAAAGGACTATGAATTTAAACCCATTAATTTTAACAAATATACAGTCATCACATTATTTTAAAGTGAATTTATATGAATTGAAAACGTACCATGAGGTTATCGATGAAATTTACTATAAGGTGTCTCATTTGGAACCATGGGAAAAGGGAAGCAGAAAAACAGCAGGCCAAACTGGCATGTGTGGAGGCGTGAGTATGTTTTCTAGTACATTGTTAATTTTTAATTATTATTTATTGATTTAAAATTAAGATGATCACAGAATTATTATGATATGTATAGAAACAGTCCAAATTTATAGCATTTTAGAGGACCTGGACACAATGAAATGAGAACTGCTAATAAAAATAAGAAAGGTGAAACCACTTAAAACATATCATTTAAAGTGAAAGTTCTAAATATTTTAGACTTTCACTGCTATTGAATAATCAGGCATCAATGTTAAAATATTGGGCTCGAATATAGACGTTGAGTAGACAGTCTTACTTAATGCCATACTTAATTGCAGAGTAGCATGTTCTCGGTCAATATATTATAATATAATATGAATGTGATTAATTGACATAGGGGGTGTAAATTTAGCGGTTCATGCAGGTCCGAGGAGTTGGTGCTGGTGGAATTGTTTCAACGGCATATTGTCTACTGTATAAACTATTCACCTTGAGGTTAACACGGAAACAATTAAATGGTCTTATCAATCATCCTGATTCACCATATATTCGGGCATTAGGATTTATGTATATTAGGTAAAGATATCACTGTCTTAAACTGTATTTTGAGAAAGTTATTTCAATGTATTGTATGCCCACTATTGTTGATATCAACAGATATACACAACCACCAGCTGATTTATTTAGTTGGTATAGTGATTATTTAGAAGATGAAGAGGAGTTGGATGTAAAGGCTGGAGGAGGACAAGTAATGAAAATGGGTGATATTCTTAAACAATTTCTTACTAAATTAGAGTGGTTTTCAACATTATTTCCAAGAATACCAGTGCCTATACAAAAAGAACTTGAACATCGATTAGCAGAAAGATTTCCTCAACAATCTATGAATGCTCGAAATGCAAAACCACCTATTACCCTAAATAGCCATGGAAAATATAGTAATAGCAGTAATAGAAAAGATAATGGCAATCTTACCTCACGGAATCAACCACGACATATCCCAGATAGTGAAGCACAATGGGGCGAGGCTGAAAGAACAAGCCACTGGCGAGCCAGGTGCGTCTACGTGGTATGAATACAATCACGTTACTAATTTATATAAGGTTAATAATATTTTATGAACTTGTCAGGGAAATTGGGTGAAGATTAAAGACGTACCATCTCCAGGAAAATACTCTTAATCTCAGTGTATCATCATTCAGTTTTCTTTAGTACATGTGTATGTTCTTATTTGATTCTTGTACAGTTATTTTTTCACTTTATAAATCTAGCATACTAAATATATTTTTATATTTGTCTATTAGTAACTTAGATTTTGAATGTTATTAAATTTATTACATTTTTTCAAGAGTAACGTTTACAAATTAAATAATTTTGAACTTTTTAGAAGTCTTCATAATATGCATGATAACTGTACACTGATCTCCCTGTAGGCTAGATATCAAAGAATATAAGACTTTAATACATATAAATACTAGAAACTATACAAATATATAATATCGAGGTGTTTAAGATTAATAATTTCTTGGTATCTTTCATAACAAATAAGTGCTTCATATGTATGCACACGTACACAGGCTGATATTTTTAAAATGTTATTTATTATTCAACATTACTTCCCTTCGAATAATGTTTTTCCAGATCTGATGAAGATCGCAAGGACAAGTACAGAGATCGAGATCGTGAACGGGATCGTATAAGAGAAAGAGAACGAGAACGTGCACGGGAAAGAGAGCGAGAAAGGGATCGGCATTGCAGACGATCGAATAGCCGCGATCGAAGTCGAAGGCAAAGAGAGTATAGAAGTCGTAGTAGAGACAGATCACACAGAGACAGGAGTAAAGATCGCTATCGCGATAAAGATCGACATAGGGACAGGTAACATGTAATTTTTTAATCTATTTATTATGAATTTCTAACTTTTTGTTAATTATAGGAGAGGTTCACCGTATGATTATGCCACAGAACTTGCTCGGGAAAGAGAGAGACAACGAAGAGAATGAAAAATGTATGTTGGCATGTATATATCGATATAAATGTTTGTACGAGTGTAACTATAGAGATAAAAATGATTTAGAGCCGAGCCATTCGAACACTACCGTGTTTTGCGGGAAATCTTACTCCATTTGGAGTAATAGCCTAAATTTAATTCGATTATATTCACCATGTAGTTTACATGTTTTTATAAAATAAATTCAAGATTATAATTATTGTTTTACTATTTTTTATCCTGCATATATAATATATAATTTTTTGATAAATGTATATATGAATACAAGGGCTTGACAAATTGCAAATAACATTTCAAATTATTTCCTAATATATGTATAATGAACATAAATTGTATTTAAGTTATTAGAATAAAAACATTATAAAATAGATATCTTTAATATTCTTAGCATTATTTAATACTGAATAAGTTTTATTGAAAGTGTTTATTTATAACAATATACGATAGAAATCCAATGCTTTACGGCGCGTGAGTACTTTGGACTAAAGTTAAAAATGGCGACGGTACTTGCTGCCCCATCGTAGTTGGATGCGTCTAAGCAGAAGTTTCATCGAAACATGAGGAAAATATTTATTACCAGGTGACAGCAACTGCGTGGCCAATTTTTAAAGGTGATATCAATAAATGTTTTTCTTTAAAAAAGGATTTTTCAATTATTTTTAACTGAATGTATAACTTCTATATTATACACTTTTGTTATGATGATATCGTTTTATTACATGAAACAATGTTTTTAACACTTCTTCCGTAAGATCTCTAATTTAGTTAAAGCTATTATTTTTGATTTAAATGCTAATCATTTTTGTAATATCGATTATGTCGATCAATCTAGTTTTTGTAAAAGTTTTTAACACATTTGTATACTCAAATATTTATTATACTGCATGTTAGTAAATTATGTTGAAAAAAGATTTGCAAGGAACGAAAATGGCGTAAGTATAGATTTATCTTCAAGCTATAGAGTTTCTGTATGTTATGATATCCGAGTAAAATAGTTGCGCGCCATCTATGTGACGTTTATTCGATCAAAACCTTAAATTTTGTTCACAGATGATTGGCCGACGCTGTGCTCTCATCGCTTTGGGCGGTCTTTTGATTCTTGTCCTTAGCGTGAATGTATATTTTATTCGAATGATTGTAGAGAGCTCATCTCAAAAGACTTCTTCTAAAGGTATGCCTATATCACAACTAAAACCCGAACAAGAACAATTAATATCTCAAGCAGAACAAAATTTACAAGTTTCGCAAAAGTCAGTTGCGAATGATATGATAAAAAAGATTAAAGAGGAAATACAAATATTACCATCAAGATATTTTAAGCAAAATGCTAGCTACACAATTGTATTGGAAAGATTGTTAACTGAATTAAGAATAATGCCTAATGTTCAAAAAAATATATGGAGTATTCCAAATAGTAATGTTAGTACTATATTGAAATATGTTTAATCAATGTAAAACAATCATTTTTTTTCTGTTGTAACTAGTTTTTGTATTTCAAATATTTTTAGTGGCCTGATGCTCACCAGTTAATACCACCGGTTGCGCCTGAATTAGGAACAATTTTGGATATTTTGCGTAAATCGAAAGTGATGCGCGCGGATAACGCACCACTTGGTACGCAATTGAAATTGATGCTAACTTTGGAACACGGAACGAAAGCGATGTTTAAACCTCAGTGGTATTCTAGGGACGCTATTATACGAGGGCCTGTTTATCACGGAAAAGACCGACATAATGCTGAAGTAGTAGCATTTCATTTATCTTCCTTATTGGCCTTAAGAAGAGTACCACTTGCTGTTATAAGAAAACGTATATCTTCTAAACATAGAATTTGTATCATTCATATATGATTGTAATTATATGGCTTGAAATATTTGACTATTTCATATTAAATTTTTTTTAGTTGACTTAAGGAATGAAATTCGACCACGTGCAACGCCTGAACTTTATGCTACTATGTATCAAGATGGTAATAATACTTGTCTGTATGGTGTTTGCCATTACTGTTCTGCCGCAGATCCAGTGTGTGGAGTCGGGGATATTTTGGAAGGTGCATTAATTTCTTGGTTGCCGCGATATTTAAGACTCGTAAAACATCGTCATCCATGGCAGAGAACTTATAAAAAGAATAAACTTGCAATGTGGGAAACAAATGATGACTATTGTGAAAAAGTAAATCTATTGTTCATTTTCTTTTATTTTTGTTCTTAAATATATTATTAAACTATTTGGTTGTTTAGGTAAAAGACTCTAAAGCATATTCTCCGCAATCGTCGAGTAGACTTTTAGACCTAGTAGATACTGCAATTTTTGATTTTTTGATGGATAACGGTGATCGTCATCATTATGAATTAGCACAGAACAATTTTCATAATCCAGCTGTTTTGTTAATTGACAATGGAAAGAGTCTTGGCAACCCTGATGTAGATCATTTTGATATTTTAGCACCTTTGTACCAGTGTTGTATGTGCGTATTTACATACGTATTAATATTGTACATTTATAATAAAAAATTGCATTATTTTCATTAAAAGCTGTAATCTGTTAAAATTATTTCTTTTTCTTCATTTTAGGATTCATAAAACTACATGGGATCGTTTAAGATTATTTAGTGGTGGCTCCTTGAGCATAACTCTTGCGAGACTTGTCGCTCATGAATCACTAATGGCCGGTGTACAACCCCTTATTACAGAAGCCCACTTAAGTGCCATGGATAGAAGATTACTTACTATTTATGCAGTTGTAGAATATTGTTTAAAAAATAAGAAGTATGCTTCCAATGTTATTTTAGATCATCGGTAACCTATGCAATATTTAGTACATTTAAACAATTTTAATATCTGAAAAATTAGGAACATTTATATCTTAAATGATATAGTTGTCAGTTATAGTTTTTGAAACATCGCTCCAATAAATTACGTTAATTATTTTAAATTTTGTAAAATCTTTTGGAATTGTTTTTATTTACTTAATATTTATTGCTTAACATATGTGCACAAATAGAATGTATATCTCTAATCTAAATAAAACAGCTTTGTATGTATAATTTTGTTCAATCTATAATCAATAATTGTGAAAAAGATTGTACATACGTAAGATTACCCTATAAAATGGACAAATGAAGTTGGTTAAAAAGAACAATCGAATTAATGTCAACCATATAAAGTTTAGTGTGATTTATTTGATGACACAATAATTATCATTATTTGAATAAAGGTCCAGTGCAGCGTCGTACAGCGTATAAATACGGTACAAACGTAAAAAACCTGTAAATGCGACTGTATAATTATTACATGCACATCATATTCGTGGACACTGTAATACGGATCGAAATCTGAAATCGACCTCAAGGCTTATCAAACATGTACACTATATATATTCTGTGTAGCCTGTGTTATTTTCTGACATTTTGGCAGTTGATACACGCTGCAATCTGATAAATTGCACATAAAGGATTCAATTCCTTTGCGTTCCATCTCTCTCCCTTCTTTTATACACTTTACACGCCATTACCAAAAAAGATCTTGCAGGCTACTATGGGACTTCGAATCAAATTTGCATCTAGCGTCATCGTTCATTCCACTCATTTTGTATTTACAATGTTACATGACCAGAATTACTCACGTATCTTACTGGCTAATTATAAACTTTATTCGTAACATAAATTTAGCGCCATCATCATTAGGTTCATGTGTATTATGTATGCGTATACATGTTTGTATGGATGTATGTATACATATATGCATGGATACATGTAATTTGTATGTATATATGCATGTATCTGCGTATGTATGTGTGTATGTGTACACGCATGTATGTATGCATGTATGTGTGTATACGTGTATGCTGTGTGTATGTATGCATATATGGAGTGTGCTATGTGTGTGTGTATATATATTATTATATTAACATTTTTTAATTAAATAGAGCTTTCGTAGCAAAGTATGTATAAATAGACTATTTTTGCACGCACACCCATCAGTACTCACTTCGAACTGCGCTGTATTTCTGAAGGCGAAACAATACTCCGTTGAGCGGTCCGTCCATGAGATCTGTATATCGAATAAGATAAGCTATTACCTGAAAGTAATGGACGAGAGGAATGGCAGTTCCTCAATCCTAAATCTTGGCTCAGTTCGAAGCCCTGTGTTTTTACGCCCTATGATAATACTGTATATTCCATCCAAATTTCTCGAGTAGATTCGCGTTAAGCTACACTTAATCGTACTTGATTTGATCATAGAAATGTATCTGTTTAAAATAGACTCGTACTTCCGTAACGGCAGCGTAGATTATTGCATCGCGTGACGACGTACGTTTTTATACGTCGGTATATTCAAAGAACATAGAAGTATCGCTTACTTGTCTCTTACTTATTTAATTACATATCACACCGAAGTGCACGATGCACATAAAAATCTAGAATAAATATAGGCCAGCTGTAGGCATTGAAAAATTTTTCTTGACATTTCTAATTTCATTTGTAATGCACATCATTGCCTTATATAAGAACAAATGGAAGGACGTATTTTATAAAGAGTATCTTATCACGCACTGCTGAAAATACCTTACATTTCGCTTATAATTCGATTGTTTAATATCCATTTGATATTTTTTGTTGTAAAAAGTTAAAAAGAGAAGATTTGTATCCTAAAGATATTCAAAATTTATTTTTGATTCTTTTCCTTTCTTTCTTTTCAAATTTTCGTATGCATTTACTCTCATACGCCCAAGTAGGTATAAATTGTTATTTTTTAAACTGGGTATTACAAACTGGCCTGATGCACGATTACATTCAGAGGTTGTATTTCATTTTCATTAATGACGGTAGAATTGTTGAATTAAAGCGCTGATTCTACGCCTCTTGACGAAGATGTCGATGAACTTAAATCTTCGGAGTGTCGAGTGTGCGATGAGTCAAGGGAGGTAACCGAGTCACTGTCGTTGCTGTGAGGACTCGAATAATTGGCTGCTTCCTGTAACCTCATCAACATATTCAGCTGCAACAATGAGAAATTGTAACTAATTATTATATTGTAGAATTCTAAGATTTTTAACATACAAATGATGTATCTTTTTATGCATATTGTGCGATTATTATACAATAAACTATATATAGCAATACATACTAACTGTATTTATTAATATTAAAATGTAAATGGTATAATAAAATTAGATTGTTGATACGTAAAATAATTCTATCCTAATATAAAAAAAACAAGATTATTATAAATTTTGTTTAGACAATTTTGCTTAAAACAATTTATTTATGTAAGTTATATAAATGTGCATATAATTAAACTGTTTAAATACTATGCTATTTTCAAAAAATGAATAAAAATTAGTCTATATAAGAATAGAAATTTGATATAGTAATGCAATAAGTACTAAATAAGTAAATTAATAAAGCAATAAAATCTAAAAGTAGATTTCATATGTCTTGATATTTGAATTTAATTTAATATGTTTATAACATCTATTACAAATTACGGTTAGCTAATGATTTCTACATTGTATCATGCAAAAGTTAAATACATTTAAAGGAAAAGATACTAACTAGTGGATCGCCTTCTGTGTCACTGTGTGTGCTACCGAGACTTTTCACACTTGATGCTCCAACACCAGATGTGTGTCCAGATGTAACAACATCATAGCCAACGTCTTCGGGCCGTAAACGAAGAAGAGCATCACTACCACCATGTACAGCATGCGTCGAAATCCAGGGGTAACTCGAGGTGATAAATTGAGCTGGATCTTCCCAGGAGGAATCACCATTTCCATTACCACTCACGCGTCTACCGTAAAGTGTTAAACCTTCTCTGACTGCTTCTACCAGGTATGGTACTACAGAATAGTTCCATAAGTCCGTAAACCATACTTGAGAACCCGTTACTTCCATCGGACAGGACAGAAATAGTCGCGGTCCTAGAAAACAAATATGTTTTCCTATGTTTATAATGAAATGAAGACTATTCGTCGTTCCTTAATGTTTAAACATTTATTATCATATATTACCTATTGTCACATCGGAGCTGCTATGGGTTTCTAGGAACTTGTTGAGATGTAGCCACACCCGTGGTAACCATTCGACAACTGCTGCCATTTCCGCATTTCTTGTTCCGCCACACTCGCGTAACTCGTGCTCTAAGAGTTTTCGCCTGAGATAACGACCTAAAAATCCTTTAACTGGTTCCATGTGATTAGCGCAAAGTACCCACCTACAAATACAATACGTATTATAATAAAAGCATTGAAAGATAAGTGTACTGTTTCGTATCGAAGGATAGGTTAAGAGGCAAGAGGTACCTAAAATTGTGATGTAATTGAAGATTCGTGGTACTACAAGTGGCTTGACTCATAGTGCCAATAATAGCTGGACAAGATGAGTGTCTAGTACCAAGCAGACCACTGAATAATTCTCCCAAGGATGCAGCATGTTGCAAATTTTCAAGGATGATTACCCTTGGTAATTCATCAGCTGCATTTGAATCGCATCTTTCGGCGATATGTGCGAGATATTGCCTGAGTTCTTTACTCGATTTGTGATCCACATTAAACGTGGCTACCGCTGTAGCATCTTTCGTATCATTATCAGCATCAACTAAGGCATGAGCTAATTTTCCAGCTAAATAGCTCTTGCCAGTACCACTGGGCCCGCACAGAATGACCCTGCGATGTTCGGTTAGTAGAGATATCAATCGTTGCACAATCGATCGTGGTATTAGTGTGTCCACTGCAAGCCACGAGTAACCGGAAAGTACCAAATAAATGGTTTTCACATGACCGATCAGATAACCGCATGGAAGCAGTTCTGGATGCTGGGAATCCGTAGTGCATCTGTATCGATAAATATCAAGAAAATACATGTAATTGTTTTAGGTATTTTTATAACATAAAATAATATCTATAATAATATAATTAATAAAATAATAATAACATGTCCGCTTTGATATTATTTAGTGTTTCAAGAATTAGATACATGATGAAAGATGAATAGGGTTTTAACATTTTTATGTTAAAAATTACAGTTAAATTGGATAAAACTTATAGGGTTTCTTTTTAATGGAGAGATATACAATGAAAATTTTTGTTCACATAGTAATAACTATAAAAAATAACGATTACAGGTTTCTGTACCTAGAAGCTTCACCAAGGTGATAAGCAGCAACGCATTCGACTCCCAGACCCAAGTTTGTCACAGGATCAACTCTCGAAACATATTCCTTGAAGCAACGTCTTACAGTAGAATCAAGGGAGTCCCATGTAGTTTTATTGCTAATGCAAACACTCGCGATGGTACAATGTGGAGGTTCACCGATATTGCCATCCGTAGTACTTCCAGTTACGAGATTATAGTTGAAATTTTTCTCGCTGCCTAGATAAATAGCAACGTTAATTCGTTTTCCATCTGTATCTTGTTCCAAAGCTGGTTCTCCCGTGGTTGTGGTAGTTGATGGGACCACTGGATGTTCCGGTACATTTAAATCTTCTAACTGGTCTGCTGTTGTACTAGTATCGCCGTTTGAAAGTGCAGCAACTGTGGAAGCTACTTCCGTCATACTGAAGCGTCTGTCTGGATCACTTGGCAGCGAAGACTGAGAGGATGTTAAGGATTTTGATGTTACCAGTCTCTGCAGACGTTCATTATTTTGCTTTAAATTAAGCATCTCATTCTGTAAAACAAGAATTTTTTTAAGTTCATTATATTTACTAGTTATATCAAATTTTTTAATATACTTTACAGTTAATTTAAATATATACTTTAATTTATAAGTAAGACAGACAGTCTTTTGTGAAACGATTCTTAAAATAGGTTTTTAGTAAGAAGATACAAATACAATTCAATTTCATTTATATATAGTGCAGCTAGTACCAAGTATTTGGTGCTTTGTTGGTCAAATTAAAAATCGAAAAAAACAGTAAAATATAAATTAAATTCCAATTTTCTTATGATTATGTTTCAAATAATAACGTATTAAAAATATGATTAATTCTTTTAGTATTTGTATGACCATTGCAATATCTTCTTTCAATACATCTTTTTAAACATAATATGAATGTTTATGTTTAAAAAGAATACATTTGTTTTTTCTTTTAAATAATATTTATTTATAATCACAAGTCTTAGTAACAAATATCCTAGGTTAATTTATATTTAAACAATAATTCTTTTTAATAGGATAACAAAAAATTGGCCTGTCTGCTTTGCAAATTTTATTATCGGTACCTAAACAAATCTAAAAACTGTAAAATGAGAAATCTGTTTACCCTCATTTTAATAACAGTGTCTTTCAATGATTCCAACTGATGTGCCGAGGAAAGAGCTTCAAGTCTGATATCTGTCAATACAAGATCTTTTTCCCTGAGCTGTTTCTTCAGTTCCACCACGTCTTCGTCCTCCTTTTTGTACAAAGCCGAACTACTTTTGCTTCCAGTCAATGGATTCTCGACTTCGGGAGACTTCTGTCCGTTACTTCTAGCACCTTGACCTCGAGGAGAATCGTGTTTGGAGGCGCTTGGCAGCCTAGGGCTGTTCGGTGCACTGAGGTCGCCACCCGCACTCTCCTTGCAATCTTCAGCATCCGAAACGGAACCATGCCTATTCTTTCGTGATCTAGAGAAAGCCTTTGAGAAGGAGCTGCGAAGCCAACCCTTCTTTTTGTGATGACTACTGGCTGAACAAGCACTGCTTAACGAATTTAACGAGGTAACGCTGTCCGCGGACAATTGTCTCGCCATCGAAGCACCTTGGTGGTTACTGTTCCCTGTGCAGCCTGTCGTCCCGGAATCGGAATCACCAAGGGTGTGACGGCGGCCGTTGTTTGCTGGTGGCCCGTTATTTAAACCAGCCTCAGCACTCTGCTTTCGAAGCCTCTCAATCGTTTCCCTTAACTCTTGAAGCTCAGAGTCCTGAAAATCACAGGTAAATATTGCTTTAAATCTATGCATATACAATGTACATATTGTGTACTGTAATAATAACTATATATGTACATATATAATTAAAAGATAATTATAATATATAAAAACAAATTAAATATAGATTATATATATATTACAGTATATATATTATATGTATAATTATTATAAATAAATATATATAAATATATTATATATTATATATAACATAATAACATAACATAAATATAATATATTTATGTATATTTATTTATTATTATATACAGTAAAAAATTTCTTTGTCTCTCAATAATGAGAGAGATTCTTCCCTCACGATTTACAGATAATGATGGCGTTCTTATGCAAGTTGGGCAAGTTTGAAGTAAATGCGTTTATCATTAGTGACTGCAATTCATGACTCATCTCGCTGTTTCGTGATTTACGAACACATAAAAAGAATATTGGAGAAAGGTACAGGGAAAGAAACTTTCTTTCCTTTCTATAAACAATTACATACAGTTGAATACAAATTCATTTGTGTGTATGAAAATCGACTTTTTATTATACTTTATTTCTCGTTTTGTAATCCAAATAGAAGTCCCATATAGGTGGTTATACCACTCGCTGTTATGCCACTTGCAAAGGTATTAAATGTTTTTATTTGCATGGTAATCATATAGCAACAAACTTTTGTCTTTTCCTTTCTCATTTTTTCAGATAATTACTTTCATCTTTCGAGATGATCGTACATTTTCTTTGTCCCAATCTATCCATTTATTATTAAATGTCGTTTCACATACAATTTAAAATGTTCTGACTATTATTTCCTTTATTTATAATTAGTTACTTGAGTGTATTTATTTATTTGCTTGCAGTTTTATTTTATGCTCTTATTTTGGATGTTCAAAATATGTGCAATTATGTGAATTTTTTAAGATGTTTAATATTAGATCTTGTTTCAATTATAGATAATTACAGGTTTTATTATTTTATGATTAATATTATTGAATTTCTATATGTTGTAATTATAATGAAAGGTTATTTATTTTATGTTGTTAAGTATTGTAATTATTTAAGTAACGAGTATTAGAATTATTGCAATATTAATGAGTAATAGTCAAAATCATAAAAATGTAATTTACAAAAATATAAGCATGTAAAAAATTTCAATGAATAATAATTGAAAATATTAAATTATTCTGATTATTATAATCTTTATGATTTTTATATTACTAATATGCAGACTACAGTTACATGCTATCTCTTTGAATATGTTTAAAAATATGACAACTTGAAAAGATAAATAAATAACTAATATATTAATATTATGATTAAATATCGTTTAAGACAAATCAAATTTTTGGACTTCCAATTAATTAGTAGTCACTATAGCAAAAAGTTTGAGTGTAACATTAATTCAAGATTAAATAAATATTCAAATTAAACAATGCTGTTAAAATCATCATCTTCCGTTCTCTCAGCAGTTTAAAAAATAAATATATATGCATATTCGATTTATAATTCCTTATTTAACCTTATTTAAGGTTCTAACCTTTAATCTCGAATAAGTATCAAGATTCCTCCCCTATCCCATCGTGCATGCATCGGTTCATATGTACACAGTAAAACATGGAAATTTCTTAAACGTTAGAGCAAACGAGTTGTTTTCATTTCCCCTGGAAGAAGTCGCTTCCGTGAAAGGGGCATGGCTCTCGGCTGTGACAGCAGGCACAGTTATCCGAATGACTGACCACTGAGTCGCTGCTCCACGATTCAGTCGTGCTGAACAATTGCTTTGTGGATTTTGAGCTCGATTCTTTCCTAAGTTTTTCTTGTTTGTCTTCTTGAGAAGATGAATTCTTCCTGAATTTACTGCTGATCGTTGATCGACCGGTTCCGCGAAATCCAGTTGCATTTGGATTTGGAATTGGACTTGGATTGGATGTCGTGTTATTAGAGTCCTTCACACTATCTGAACGACCTTTAGGTCGTGTTTTCGTCTTATTTGAGATATTTTTCAGACCTCGTTCTAGTTTCGCATGCAAGTTGCTCAATTTTTCCAACGTAGCTGCTCGTTGAGCTTTCCGTTCTTGCTTTAAATCCAACACCTTCTTGGGAGTTTTTGTATCCACGTTTCGATTACGTTTGACTTCTTTCTTCGACTTGTCTTCATCGTCCGTCTTCTTTCTAAGTGTCTTAGAGTTGGCCACGTTAGCAGAGCTCTTAGACAAGGCTGAATTCGACTTAACCGAGGAGTTGTCAGTATCTGGTGCTCGAAGACCGAGAGCCCTTGCATCTTCTGGAGGGATGGGAATCATGATCAGACCATTTATTATTTTAATCTTACTATCAGGATAGGCGGATAATAATTGTATATTTTTCAAGTCACCTGGGCGATCTAGTCTCTGATTTCGTGAAGATTTTGGCGGGAGCAAGCGATTGTTGGTCTTGTCAAAGCTGCGATTAGTGGTCTTGTCTAAGCTGCGATTCGAGTTCATCGTGAAAATTTTGAGGAGTCCCAGTTTCAAGAAGGAAATTGTAATTTTGAGGTTAGCTTATGAATAGGGGGGAAAATACAGTGGTATAATTGTCCATTTCCATAGCATGTAAACTGTGGCATTTGTTAAGTGTTGCAGACCATTATCTTTAAAAAATTTCGTCCCATCGTTTCATTGTTAGAGACTTCATATTTCAACGACGGAGTTTTCACGATGAAACTTCTCCTTTAGATACAAATTTATTCGATGAAATTAGACACGAGATTGTTTCTAATGATGATTTTATATTTTCATTTAGTGCCCTCTTGCGTAATAAATACTAACGATGTTAGTATTGACAAATCGCAAGTTGAGGTTATGAATTCCTGTTACATGAACAGTTTTCATAATTTTGCAATATCGCATTAAGTAGAAGCTGACTTGCAATTTGTAAGATGCACTTGTAAAATTTCATTTATTTTATTGCTAAACTTGTCATCACTGTTATGTAACAGAATTTATTATTACCGGCACAACGCGTATCTTGTGAATTTTAAAACTTCGCTAATAATTTCGGCTTAATTGCGCAAGAGGGCGCAAGATGTATCGAAAAATTAGGTTTGTAATGAAATGCTCACTTTCTTTTCGGCTGTTGCAGTAAGTTGCTGCAGACGTTGTGTCATATTGGACAAAGATTGCTCGAAAGCTGATACCACGTGAGCCTGCAACAGGAAAATAAACGAAAATAATGAAAAATAACGAAGATTATTCGAACTGAGTTGTGAGAAGTTAATTATTATAATTTCTATCGACATAAAAGAAACAACAGTTTAGTCTATCTGTTGTAATAATTACAACAATTTTTATATACATACTGCAGTTTTAACGTGATCAAAATTTATTACAGGAAATAATACGAGCAATATCATTTCTTATTATTTTGTAACTTTTGCATAGTAGCTTCTATAATTTACATTTAACAAGTCATAGTAAGTATGAGTAATAAATTTAATGTTTTATAGTGAACCATAAATCTAAAATATAAACGATTTTTGTTAGATAAATGTTTGATTTCTACACGTAATACGAAAGGTTATAAAGTTTATATCGAAAGTCCATAGATGTCGCGATAAGTACATATTACCGACTGTGGTTAAAATCGCATGTGAAGACGAAATGGAAATCAATAATGATTTTGTATATTATTTATATACCTATTAATTGTGACAATATATTCTGGATCAGAAACTTTAATTTCCTTCGATTTTCATAGTATGTGCATAGCCCAAGTCCACTAAATTCTTTTATATTTGTTCGATATGATTTTATTTCAAGAGGGTTAAAGATATCGACGAGCCAACTACATAAGAGCATCCTGTGAGTTCTCCACATCCCGATATCTTTATCAAGAAGTTTTCGAAACAGAACATGGAAGTTGGATAACGTCGAGTGGCAAGGCTTGGCCAGATATTTTTCTCACGTATCGATCTCGGCTATCTAATTCTTCTTCCTGTGCTTAATAACGAAACGATAATTTACGTTTCTTCTTCCGTCGAGTGGTCACGCATAGGGGGCAGCCACAATGGAGATTAGAGTGATTTTGACGAAAATAGAAAATGGTAAAATTTTACTCATGGTAAGTATATCCTCGATTGTAAATACGTTTGGACTTAATTTTTAATTTTCTCTAGTTTTAAGCGTTTTAAAAATTATATGAGAATCACGTGAAATATAATTTTATGTGAATCCGAAAATAGAAAATGGTAAAATTTTACTCGTGGTAACGATATGTAAGTATATCCTCGACTGTAAATATGTCTGGACGTAATTTCAAGTTTTCTCCAGTTTTAAACATAAAAATTATTTGAGAATCAGGTGAAATATAATTTTATGTGAATCTGAATAGTTTAAAAACATACACACACATATATATTTTCTAGTATTATATAAGAGTAAATCTTATCAATATTTAAAAGTTGTGTGTATAGTAAATGAAACAAATATTTGAAATATGTTTTTCCATAATATTTTAAAATCTTGGATAAATCTTACTAATATTTAGAAAAAATCCGAATATACAATTTTAATTTACCGTGTATTATTGTAAATGCGTAATAAAGATTCTTTTCTGTTATAGGAAATAATAACAAATTTCACTAGTAACTTGTGGCTAGTGAATTTTCGCTAGTAACTTGTCACTAGTGAATTTTCACCAGTAACTTTTAAATTTTGTTTGCACGAAGCATAATTAAACCTATACGATAAGCTTCCATTAGTGTCACTGGATACACAATTGCGCTTCTTTTATCAGACACTAATAAAAATGTCGTATCCTATCACCGCGCGATTTTCTTCCCATCGTTATTTATTCGGATCTATCGAGTACCCTTGCTGAGGTAACATCGAATGTGTGTCCAACTTCGTGTTCAACGTAGGCGAGCTGACCCACAATGCGACCCACACGGTTGGTCTTTCCATTTTTCTGTTCCCTTTTTGTTAGAAGGACAAGGATAATAACACAGCGAAGAGAATACACAGAGAGGAGGAAATTCCACGTATCCGGTGTCTGGATAGACAAATATAAAGTGCACATCTTCCCTATAGTAATTTTCTGCTCCACGGGATGCACTTGCAGCTACTTGTTTCAATTGATTCTCCTAAATGATAAATAATTATGTAAGAAGCAGTGTGTAATAAAAGAGAAACTTTAAGCAAAAAAATATGTAATGTACCTTATTCAAGTGTACTAAGTAATAACAAAATGTGCAACCTAAATGTAGCATATATAGACAATAATAATTACAATGTTAGAATAAAAATAAATATTATTCATATAATA